GTATATATATATATATGTGTTTGTGTGTATGTATAAAAGGCTGCCATGGTATTTTATTATAAAATGATTTTTTTTTCTATATTTGATCTAACATTGTTTCAATCTACATATTAAATGTGGAATAGTGCTTCTTGCTGATGTAGTTTAGTTGCCAATACCCCGGAATAAAAAAAACTATCTGTGCTGTAAAGAGAGTCAGTGGTAATTCTCCACCAACTCTTTATATATATAACTTGGTTGTTGGAACAACCATTCCTTTCCATCTAAAATATTTCCAAATAATTATTTTAAGGTATATTAATAAAAACTAAATATACTCTCATTAAACAGAACAAAAGTGTCACACTTTCTAGTTTTCGGACCTAACTATTACAAATACAATTGTGGTAATTGAGATTTCGTATTCTGCACTGGCTGACATGGGTAAAATGAACGAGTTTCAACCACAGTTGTGCTTGAAATACCAAATGTTGAACTGTATCACTTCCAAAAAATAATTGAAAGGTAAATTAGTATCTATGCACTTGTTTATAATTATATAAGACAATAATTTGATTTCAGAATTTCACAGTCTCACCTGGATTACCAAAATAGTTTTGGAACCAGAAAAAATAAAATCACAACACTAAATCCAAAGCCCTGGGTGATCATAAAAAGTAATGTATGAACATGTGAATATTACTATTTGTATTTTAACCAATATTTAACAAACTATATATTTACATATAAAAATATTATATGCAAAGTTCACCTGTTCTAAATCTTTAGCCATTCCATCCAATTCCTGGTCTTCATTTAATAGACGTTTTAGTTCATCATTGCTGAGATGCTGTAGAAGGCCTGATGCTGCGGTATAGTCAGGATGGACTTCATTCATGTAGTAGGGCATGCTGTTTCAACTAGGCCTACACAAGCATAATTTACAAAAAGGTTGACAATAGAAAATATAAAAAAATCTTCTGAATGGAATTCCAATTACATGCTTGATGAACAGACATATTTTCTTCATCTAAAAATCATGTTTTCTATAGTTACATGCACATACATTTTTTTGTGCCTACAACTTAGAAGTAATACCACTCAGATAATTATTTACAAGGTCAAGATTTTTTAAATCTTATGAAGTAAAATGTTTGTATGGACTTTTAAAAATTCCACTCATCTTCTTATATACAAATAGTGGATGAATAATGGCAAGTTGACTTTTTTCATGCACTCATCAGAAAGCACATTGTATTAACTTGTTAAAGTTAACTCAACTGTGGAGTAATTTGGTGGCTAAAAATAAATGGGTAGATTTCAATAAATACCTTCTTTTCTTTCTATTCATCATTAAACCATCACTTTCTTGTTATATAGGTATGTATCTCACAGTCTAGGCTCTGGATGCTATTACCAAGTGCAGTAGTAGTTAGGACCATGATTCTGCTTTAAGATCCATGATGCTGAAATATTGTAATTTTGAGTACAAAATATCTGAAATTTTGTGAACCCAATGCTTAATTTATCAATAATTACAAAATATCTGTACTGGAGGAGTATTATCCTTAGCATTGCATCCCAGCTTTGATGACCGAGAGCAAGTGCACTTATTTCATAACAGCTCTGTACACCTTTGGACATGCCATCCTTTTGCATTTTCTCTAGAATATTCTACTCTTATGGATTCTTTGTTTATGCAACCTTATTTGGAATGAAAGGTTACAAAACTGCTCAGTTATTAGTTTTTTGTGCATGACGTGTATCATATTTACATGATATTGGTTGGCACATTCATAAATGGGCCAATGTTATAAATAGATCATTCATTTAAGCAATTTCTGGGACCCCTCTAATCATTTTTATACAACAATTAAAATTGGAAAATGATGAATAAAAATTTTATGTCCTTCTTCCTGCAGGATGAATGACTATTCTAAAAGTTCTCAAGCCATTATCACAATTTATTTTTCAGATGGATACTAAATCAACCAGTATTATAGTTTTAAGCACAAAGTGGAAAGACCTTTAATAATATATGTATGCAAATGTAAATTAAAAAAATTAATGTTTAACAATATATCTAACTGAAAAACTTACTATATTATAAAACAAAGAAAAAGTGGATGAGAAAAGACATGGTGTAAAAATAAAAAAATATACAAAAATAAATCTTTTTACAGACTTTTCTACCCATAAGCTCATTTTGTCAAGAACTGAAATAACCTTGTCAAATAGTACACAAGTCCTCATTTCTGTAATTATTTTACTACTTGAATGTTAAAACATTAGACAATTTTGTTTGAATAGAAGTCTTCATTTAGCCTTTTAAGGCTCAAAACAACAAATTTTAGCATTAAATTAGCTATTTCCACGTATTTCATCTGAAATAACTCTCCTCATCATATATTATGCAGTAACAAGCCAAATTCACAGTCTAGTCATTTCTTTGATCTCATTACTAAAATTTCTTAAACAAAATAATGGAAAATAAAGTTTTATCTGAATATTTCATTTGGATGATCTGAATTTTAATAAGCTAATATGTTCTTCTGTTCTGCATGTAAAACTGAAAAAAATTGGTACAGTTCATTATATTTTGAATTTTTGGAGAACAGAGAAGCATCATTATAAAATAAAATCTTTATAGAAACTAAGTTTCTTTGTTTATATTTAAGAATGAACAAGTTAAAAAAGCCATTTGTTCATCAATGCTCTCTAATTATTGAAGTAGCAAAAACTGAACCCCAGGCTACAGCAGAAGATTAGTGAAAAGTACAACATTTTACAATTTTATGACCAAAATAAGCTTTCATAAGACAATGCCCCAGTTTCAAAAACTTACTAACATTAATATTTAAGCCACCATTGGCAGTTTTATCATTCTAGAAATTACAAAGTCATCCTAAAAACCAGCCTATGTATATCACATGGTGTTCCTAAAAGGAAACCCACATATTTAAGATGATTATCTTTTACAAATACTTGACCTATGGAAATAAAATTTCACTAAGAAGCACAACTAAGAGCTCAAGTTTCATTCAGGAAAGTCTGTACATGAAACAAGGTATTTCAAAAACATATATGACTGCATGCTTAAATTGTTTTTTTTTTTTATAGAAAAACACTTTCAACAACACAGGTCTTCTAGAAATTTTCAATGTAGACAGAATTGTAAGCCATTTGTTCATAGAAAAATGACAGTTGAGTTCCCCAGATACGATAAAATTAGGTTTTTGGTTGTAGAGTTTCCTCAAAGGAAATGTCTATCAGAATAGCCCCAAAGATTTAGAGGATTTGAAAACATCTATAACGATGAGACTGTAAGGATAAACGAACACTGACTACAACATATGATTTTAGCTGTAATCACCCATTATTATAGGCCATATATATTAAAATATTGATTAATTAGTTATCTATACACTACTCAAATTACCTTTTCCTTCTCACAGCTAAATTCATATGTACAAAAAACTGTGAAGTCATTTTTAGCTTCATTAAAAAACACTAAATATTTGTAAGCCAGGTTATGGCAAAGAACCTGTGACATGCATTTTCTAAAGTCTCTCTTAATTGCTTTTTAAATTTACACCAGGTAAAAATAAATATGAATGTGGTCTAAATATTTTAGTGAAAATAATGTCCCATAGCTGCTTATTATTATTATCATAGTTAACAAAAAATAAAAAATGACAGTGCTATGCTTTTTGAACAGTTTACTTTAAAAACATCATGTTGACAAAATAATTGTGTTTAAACTACAATATATGAATTTGTACTCTGGGTTACTGGATTCCAACCAGTATTTTTAACTTGTCCTGTCTTTGTTTTTTTTAGTTTTATAACTGTACACTGAAGCAAATTTTCTAAAGTTGTGGAACAATTTAAGTTCAAATCTCAATCTGGTTATTAAAACAAAAAAGTTATAAAAAATGATGTGAAGAACTGGTTAACCACAGTTTGAAAACTGTCATAGTAAATATAAAAATAAAGAGTTCAGACTTCAGTCAATCAAATTTAAAACTGAATAAGTACTTAATGTATTCTTAGTCTAACAAATCTTTGTCTTACAATTGATATTTTGATAAAAGAGTTAGCACAAAAGATCACATATAAAGTGTAATAGACTTAAAATGAGACCCAAAACTCAAGCGCTTTCGATTAGTTGACTATTCTTCTTCAGGAGAACAAAGAATAGTCAAATATTCGAAATTGCTCGAGTTTTGGATCTTATTTAAGTCTAATTGACATTTTGATAAGCAATCAACTAGAAGTATACTGATATATCTGAAGACTACTGGCCTGGCACCAATATAAGGAAAATT